TTTTTTTTTTTTTTTTTTTTTTTTTTAATGTCTCTTACTTGCATTTATCAAAGATTGTTTTTGTACGGATGAATCAATATAAATAAAAATGTAGATTATGAATTTTGAAAGATGTTATACTTTTTTACTTTAATATTAAGCATTAAAATAATTTGATTTTCCCAAAAAGTTCACATGTTCATCACTTTGGAATATATGGATGCATATTAATAATCATTAAAAGACAAAAGGAAAAAGAAATGATGGATGATACTCATTTTTTTTCATTAAAAAGGAAGAACTGATTGATATTAAGTAATTGAGTATTCTGTTTCATCATTTCCATTGCAATTCAATCTCAATTATTCGCCCAAATTTAAGCAGTTTCCATTACACAGAAGCATGTGGGTGCAACTCAATTTTTGTTGTTGGCATTCAATTTGGTGATCACATGTTTGTCTTGACTTCAATATATCAACCACTTCTCCCCTTTTTATTTATTACTCCCGGAACCTTTTCCCTTTCATCATTCTGTTAGATGAACACCACTCTCCCAATGATATGATATTGTCCCCTTTAGAGTTTTGCTTTGGGCTTCCCTAAAAGGCTTCATACCAATGGAAAGTGTATTCTTATATTATAAACTCACGACCATTCCCTAAATTAACCAATGTGGGACACTTTCATCCAACACATTCATCTTTTCTCCCCTTTTCTCATTTATTAAATTAAGCTCAGACTCGAGACTCCTAATTTTAATATTTTATGACGCTTCTCTCTCTATCTTATTAATTTGTAACGGTCGATAGATTAGAGTTTTACACCGTCATGGACTTTATTGACCGGGAAGGATGAGCTTAATTTTAATATATATAATCATTACTGACTACAACACTGCCATCCAATAATTATTATTACAATAATCTGAAGAAAAAAATTGATTTTGAATTCTTCTGAACGCCGCCGCTGACAAGTTGAAGCCACCATCGTAGTTCCGACTGCTGACTCGACCTGCCGCCGACCAACCAAATAAGAAAGTTTGAAAACAATACATACGTACATACCGAAACGACACCGTTTCTAACTGCAAGTCTGTTGTCGAAACCCTATTTTTTGGTTCACCAAATCATACTCGACATAGAAATTCTGCTGCTGAAAAGCCCCAAGAATTATAGACGGCCCACCTCCGCTTTCCGCCGCCTTATGTGTCACAACTGTCAAACACGCCACGCCGGAGCTACTGACTAAAGCGAAATAGTTACTCAACGGCGGAGCCCATTTCGCTCCGCCTTTTAAATGGAAAGTCAACTCCGGAAACTCCACGGATTTGTCCTTCGAAATGTCGAAACACGGCCGTAATCCCGTGAGAGATTCTACATCCGTGGCTCTCGTCCGGTTCGCCAACTGCTTCTCGATTTCTTGCGCCACCGCCTCGAACACCGGTTTGTCCATAAACGTGAAGGTGGAGCCGGAATCGATGATAGATCCACCGTTTCCGTCGGGGCCGGGCACCAGATACTTGTACGGCACCTTCACGGCCTTGTTTCCAACGAAGATTTTGCGTATGGTTAAGTAATAGTATTCTTTGTAAGCGTGGTTAGAAACGGAGGGGTTCTGTCGGAACGGCGTGTAGGTGAGACCGCTGGTCTTGGCTCCGCTGGAATCTAGAATCAGCTCGCCGGCATGAGGGGAGTCGTCGAATTTTCGAGACGCGAGGCAGTAGGCAAATTTCTTGAGACCCATTTGCGAGGGGAGCGATTCGGATCCTCGGCCGAATCCGGCGATCCCACTGGGCTGGTGGATCGACAAAAACGAGCACCCAACAACAAAATTGGTGATTTTCTTATTGGGAAAATCAAGCGTTTCCGATAGCAAAAGCCCCGCCGTGGAACCGGAACCGTATTGAACAACATAAGCTGGGCAGGTTTGGGTACAGTTCTCTGTTTTGGGGTTACAACTCCGGCACTGAGATTTGACATCGGGGCCAAAAATCCAGGCACATTTGGGATTCTGGCAACCGACAAGCTTGGAAGAGGAAGACAATTTGGGGATAAATCTGGGGATTCGGGCGGGATCTATTTTGGGGAAAGAACACTCGGAACAGAGATATTTGGAAGTGCAAGGGAGCCAAACGAGACTACTACCTGTATCGAAGATCAAATGCAGAGTCTGGGATGGGGTACCGAAGCTAAGTGGAGTAGAGTAAGCTCCATAGCTGTGGGGGGAGAGAGGGGACTTGGAGACAGAGTTGGATTTGGATTTGGGGGCTTTGATTTGATGGGCTCTGTTTTGGGAAGCAGAGGCGAGGAAATTGAGAGTTTGGAGTGGATCTGAAGAAGAATGGTGGGGGAAGGAGGAGAGAGGGAGGGTGATGGGGTTGGTGTCGGCAATGGCGGAAACAGAGGAGAGGAGGAGAATGTAGAAGAAACAGAGAGGGGGAGGAGGCGCCATGGAAGAAGCTGGGGTTGGCTTCTTCTTCTTCTTCTAATTCTTCTTCTTCTTCTTCGTTGTAATCCTGAATGTTATGGATTGGAAATGTATGAAGGGAATGGGAGATATGATGATGAGGAGGTGGAGATATGGAGCATAAATTGGGAGGAAGAAGGGACAAAGCGGTGAGCTGGAAGCAGTGCTGCAGTTTGTGAGTAGAGAAAGCACTGTCAAATGAACATCATCCACGTGGAAAAACTCCACCAAGTCTTCATTAAACACTTTCACGGTCGCGGTCACAGGATAGCGCCGCCTCTTTCCGCCCGTTGGAACCTCAATTTCACCTTCACTTGGCTGAGCAATCGGTCGCTGTTCTACTTGTGAACTGAATTCATAATAAATCTATTTGGCAAATACTCATATGGGCTGGATTGTGTATGGTGGTGGCATGGTTAGGGCACACCTTAGATGACAGATTTGGGCCACTTGGTGAAGGTACCCAATTCAGCTTATGGGCCTTTCTTCTTCAACTTTTACAAGGCCGAGTTAGTGTGTTAGGTCTCATTTGTTGGGCCCAAGTAGTAGTCGATCCTAGGCCCGTGGTCACTTGAGTTATGTCCATGATCTTCTTTCTAAGTTTAAGTATGCGCCTTTTAAGCCCAACCTCACCCCTAGGATATAAATGGTATCTAATATCCCACCAAGATAGATAATACTATTCATAGTGGGTTTAAGCTATTACAAATGGTATCAGAGACCAACGTCGAGTAATATGCTAGTAAGCACGCTAGACTTCCAACTGGATCGATTATGAGATTTTACCGTAGTTGGAAAAGAGAACAAAACATTAGTTACAAGGGTGTGCAGATCTATCCCCAACAGACGAGTTTTAAAACAGTGAGGCTTACAATAATACGTAACAAGCTAAAGCAGACAAGAAAACAATACATGTTCACCTGTACAACGACACTCCAGTGGTATAAAGAAGGAAGAACAATTAATTCACTCCCCACTGAAAATGTATGGCTGTAAAGGCCTTTTCTCGTCTTCCAAAAATTCTCCAGCCGCTGGGTCACAACTATAACCTACCCCAAACGAGGAAATGGGCTCAAAATTGACGCCGTGCTACGAAATAGTTAGCGCCATTTGAGTATTTGCGACACCGCGTAGGCGCAGCACACGCCCAGCCGCATCATTTTTCTTCCCACCATCAAATGGGGCTGTAAATTCAAATTAAAATTCTATACATTGTAGGACCACCCTATTAAGATAGTGAAGTTACATATATATGTTTTTCAAAAAATGTAACATAAACACGTGTGTAAATTTAGTAGAACGTAATAGAGACATTTGATATCTTGGAAAGATATGAGGATTGAAGAAAATGTGGTAATGAATGTTGAAACTTCCCACCCATTTCCTCCCTCTTTCTAATTTTTCTATGAATGCAAACAAAACAACCACACTTTCGGCTCACAACCCATAATTCCCATCCTCCAAAGACTCCAAAAAAAAAAAAAAAAAAAAAAAAAAAA